AGGCAGAGGATCAGGCAAAGGAAAGGGATCTGAGTGGCACTTAGGGAGGATGCAGGTCTAATTTGTGGCATACCTGCCAAAAAAGGTTGGTTCTCAATGGGCCAAAGCAGTGGTTTTCAACCTGTGGTATGCAGACCCTAGGGGTCCACAGACTATGTCTAGGGTCCACGAAAAATGACTATGATCAATCAAAAGTATACGAATACCCATATTTACAAATCAAAGGGGTCTGCACCTCCATTTGAAATTTCCAAAGGCATCCACAACTCTATTTGAAATTTTTTAGAAGTATGCAAATGAAAAAAGGCTGAAAACCACTGTGCTAAAGGATACTTAGTATGGGTAGAATTCTTGCAGAATTTAGCTGTGAATTTACTCTTTCAACTAAGCCTGTGTGAAGTGCCATTCCTAAAGGATTGCACCTGGCCAAACTTTGGCAGCTTCACAAGGAACAAGCCACACAGATTTTTGGGGCAGAGTGGGACAGAGCAGAGAGGACAAAATAGGAATCAGAAGATTTAGGATTCAAATGTTTGAGGCCAACCTGGACAGAGGTGCATAAGTTTGCACACGATAGCGTATTGGAAACCAACTGCCAATTTAAAGCACTGGGTTTATTTATCCGCACAACAAGCTGTGGAGCTGTTGTGGCAGGTGCTGGCCCAGGCTCCCCAAGCTGCTGGTGGAGGCTGTAGGGAGGGAGCTCAGCGGGACAGGCTGCTGTTGCCCTGAGGAGCCCTGCCGTGGTGACGCATCATCATGGGTGCCAGGCTGGGGTGGGGACTCGGACAGGCTATCCATGCTGCGATAAAGAGCACAGCTGTGGCCTGGGTCCTGGGGCATGAGGTTTTCTGTCAGTTGCTTTATAAAGGGCATGGACTTGAGGGCACTCCCTAACTGATGACTGTGGTCAGTGATGGTGACACACTGTGCCCTCAAGGCCTTGACCTTTATGCTGCACTGCCATCCTGAGCAGTTGTGCCCATGCTCCCACAACTGGTTTGAGAGCTCCTTATGGTTGGGGAGACCAGTTCTCCTTGTGATGAGAACTCAAACTGAATTCCATCCTCTATGTGCAGTTATGCAGGAATCTATAAAAAAAGGAGGGTGCTTATCACCTCCATATCCTAGGAAGTCTTTTCATGGACTTTTTTGCTACCTTCTCACATTAATCCCAGCTAACTAAACTGCACCCTCTCATAGACGATCTGTTTCACTGCCTTTTTTCCAAGTGGAGTTACCTTCATTTTATGAGGTACCTCTCAATATATTTTCTGAATGTCTCTAAGCCTTTTTGGCCTTTCTGTTATTTTTCTGCCTTCTTTCTAATCTGCTTCCTGTAGTAATTTGGAATGGTCTGTGAATTTCAGAAACATACCTCTTATTTTTATTTCCAAATCACAATTAAATGCTAGCACTGCCTACCAATATACAGCAACTGACACTTTGCACATGGCACTGCTTATAAATTAGCATAGTAGCTCCCTGCCTATTCTGAAAACAGGTTATGCATGTTTGACATTATGCACTAATATAACTACCATGCAAAAAGTTAAAATACTTGCAGAAATCTTTGCAAGATCAGGGATATCACCAATATGACACAGCAAAGGATAGAAATGAACAAAAGGGACAGGTCGTTGCTGGTTTTATGTGCAGGTTTTATGTGCAAGCTATTCTGAATGATCAAGTGCCTTGCTGAAATCCAAACATTGCATTTCTCATATTTTTCTCTCTGTTCTCCCCCTCAGATTGTATTGTTCTCCCAGCAACAGCAATCAAGTTTGTTAAGCCATCTAGTTCCACCTATTCATAAGTTCAATTTATGAAGGAAAACATTTACAGATCAACATGGCTGTTAAAAACAAAGGTCAGCACTGTAACAGGTTATGGTAACAAGTCCTTGCAACATCACCACTCAGAAACATCTTACAGCACAGAGAACTTAAAAAAAAACCAAAATGGAGGCTTGCGAAAACTAAAAGCAGCTGTTGATCTCAAAGGGAAAGATAAGATTCCAAGATTCTAATTTTTATTAACGAACAGGGAATATTTTAACAGTTTTGTTGTTGCTGCTGTTAAAAAAATTCTGATGTGTCAAAAACAAAACTTTGCACAGTTGCAATGGCATTTTTGTTAAGAAAGGTTTCCCCCGAGTGCAGGATGGAAAGCTGGTCAAAACCAGTGGGACAAAGAATTAAAAATGGCAGCACAACAAGAGCATTATATTTCAGTCACTTGACACCTTAAAGAATCAGAAACCAGAAGGCAAATAAAAAGTAGCCACCAGTCATTTCTTTAAACCCTCAAGCTTTCTAAGCCAGTGGTGCTCAACCTCTGGCCTATGGTCCAAATCTAGTCTACGGGGCCCTGTCATCTGGCCCATGAGGCTTCTAACAGAACAGGAATTTGGCAGTGGTGGAGTGGTGACAGCCAGAGCTATTAACACTGCCACCGCTCCCCCACTGCCAAATATCCAATCAATGGGGAGCCCCATGGGCCAGATTATATAGCCCTGGTCCTGCATACCGGATCATGCTGGCACACAGGGTTGGATCTGGTACACTGGATCACACCTGTGGACCAACCCCATACACTGAATCCACACAGGATCTGGCCTCCAGATCAACCTCCTGTCACTCATCCAACCCACAAGGCAGAAGGTTAAGCAGTACTGGTATAGAGCTTTGCTGTGGGATTGCCTCACTGTCCCCTGCTTATTCCCATTTGTTTTCATCTGTAAGGAGTAACTACTGTGTAAGTAACAAGCAGCCTCTGCCCTGCTTCACAAAAAAAAACTCCCTTGTTGACTCCCAAGAAGAAGAATGTCTTCTTTTCACTTTTCCTTTTCTTCTCCCCAGTGCATGGTTCATTGCTGATCCCCTTTGCTGCATGGCCATTACGCAACTCCCCTTCCTGCAAGCTCTCTGTTTGCCATTGGCAAACAACACATACATTCCTTTTCCAGGGGGAGACATTTATGGTAAGAGAAAATTTCAGACCATGCAGATCTTCTGTATATAGTGCAGTTTAGGAGAATAATTGAAGCCAAAGAAAGAGAATCAGCACATGGTAGGTTTGTGTGTGCAGAACAAACTGGAAAGGTGTGCAGCTCTGTAAGTATGCTGTCTAGTTACAAACATCAGCACAGAAGTAAAGCAGCATTCAGACAAACTTCGTGCTCCAAATCAGATTCATGCCACAGTAGCATTGTGTGCTTAGCGTCTCAGGAGTGCCAGGTGCTGTGACAGTGCACATCCATGTTAAATGCATTAAAGATTCTACAGCATTTGGTTATTTTTGCTGAATGTTTCCATGAAGTTTATGATCTTCTTTAAAAAGAATTTTTTCTTCATTTAAATTACCTCTGTCCAGGGATGAGCACAGCCAGCTCCTGATCTGAAGCTAGTCACCTAGGAATGCCTGAACCTTTGCTAACTGAAGTAGCCTATTCAGTTAGCTGTTGCTAACTGAAGTAGTTTTGTAGAACACTCATTGCATTGTCATAATGAGGATGTTCTACTGCACTCTAGTTTTGCACAGAGCTACAAGCTGTTACCAATAAATCCTGACCTTTAGCAATAGAATCAAACCCAGGGAATCCTCCTCCTCCTGCCCTTAATGTCCATCCATCAGCTGCAAAGGTCCTGGATCCCTCTTAGCTGACCTTGGGAGCCTGGCATTTAATGGATTCATAGGCCAGTTACAGACATTACACTTTTACCAGTGATCAGAAAATGGTCTATACCTGTAACAGAATAGAAGTTCAGCGCACACAGACTGGTTTAAAAATGTTGGGACCCAGTTTAAGATTTGCCCTACCCCCACCAAAGGGTGAATGTGTGTTCTGTTCACTACCAATCTAAATACGCTACTTGCAAAAATTATGTTAACAGATTGATTCCACCTTGGGCTTTTTGAATGTTTGTGAAGCAAAGGCATTTTCAAGGTCATATCACTGCTTGTTTTCTGAGTCAGTAGAAGCTAGCATTGCTTAGCCTAGGGTGGGGAAAACAAGGAGCTGTTCCTTGCTTTGTCAGAGCAAGGAACATCTCAGAGGGACACTGCTGGAAGCCATATCCGGCCAAACTAATGTGCACTCTCTATGGGAAACAAAACAGGAGGCTATAGCAGGGACCACTTCATTACATAAAATGATACAAGTGGGAGTTCTTTGCCTCACCACCATGAAAATCCCACACCAAAACCCACTTATGAATACCCACATGTTTTGGAGGGTTGTGACAAATCAACATGGTATGTTTCTGTTGGATTGCCAGTCATGCTTGCTTTGCTTTCCCTGATGCTCTGTGTCAATGCCAGGTCAGACCAGGGAACAGTAGCACTGACAGGCTGTGGGAGGGTGGAGAATGCTGATCAGAGCATTTCATACTGTGAGCGTGTGCCCGTCCTGGGTACCCGGTTTTCTGGTAGTTCCCCCCCCCCAATTCCCGCCTGCCACGACTTGATCTAAACACAATTTGTGGTGGGGGTGGGGAAGGAACAGCTGTTAGAAACCGGTACCCCGGTAAAGAAAATACATAGATCAGATCTTCACTGATCGTGCTTTATTTAACATTTGCCTGGCTCTTTCTCTGGGGACGACACTCCTCCTGTGTGATCGCCGCGGGGTTCTCACCGCCGGCTGTCAGGGATCAAAGCAGGACTACTTGTTGGCCTCTTACACAATGATCAGCCGCTAATTGCCTTGTTAGCGGCCGATTAACGCCGACACCGGGATTCACCGCCTGCAGCTTGTGCTGGCTTGCGAAGCACGGATTCATCACTTTACTTTTCTCTTTCTTCTCTGCCTCCCTCCACCCTCTGGTGCAGGATCCGGGTTACAGTAGCTGCAAGGCAGGGTCGGGGCTCCTTCACCCTCTTCTTCTCTGCCTCTTCCTTTACTCTTCTTCTCCCCCTCCCTGCTCGGGGAATCCCCACGCTCTGAGCCCTCGGAGCTGTGGCGGGGCTTCCGCACCGCTGCTCAGTTCATGACTCACCGCAGAGGCTGTCTTTTCACTGCAGGACACAATCTGGGGAAGGGTGCCTCGCTCCCCAAAATTCCCCTTGTCGTCTGGACGTGCGTCCCTACCTCCTGGGCTCTCTGTCTCCGTCGCCATAGGGATCCCTTCTCATTCCTCTCAGAGTGCGTGCCTGAAGACGCCCTTGGGAAGTTTCCTCCCCTTTTTATTGCACTTTCCTGGCTTCGTATTGGCTGCCTGGGTTTATTCATCAATTTCCTGGCTGTCTTCGTTTCCGGCAGCTGCTCCCTTCTTTTAGTAACCGCGTCGCAGCTGCGGCACTGTTGCACATACATTTCACATTTCGACAAAAATGGAAAAGATTTGCAGTTTGAGTTCTGCAACACCCACCCACCTGTTCCAGACCAGAATGAAGAAGTTCCTTCCTTCCTTCTCTAGGTGTCCTCTTAAGGGGGAATCAGGTGGCCCACCACCCTGGAAGTTGCACTCTTTGTTCAAGCTTCCTTGGACACAAAGTATGTTTTTTTCCTCACCTGAGTTTTGTCGTAACTAACATCAGGTGTAGGTGGGTTTTATGTCTTTAGAAAGCACACCTCAATCTTCTTCTGGGTGCTAAGGAGATAATATGCATTTCCCAGGAATCCATAGGGGAAGTATAGATACACACTTTTTACTAGTGAACTGTAAATATACAACCCAGATACTTAAGCAGTACCATACTGAGACCTTATTTTCACTCTGGTTTTTCCAGCATAAGATCAGGCTCCTGTTACTTTATGGGTGAAGGAGCAGCAGAGAGAGAGCCTCAAGGCAGAGAAAGCTGTTTATTATGAGCTGCCAAGGAACAGGTACAGTTACCTAATGCAAGCACTTACCATAGAACTAGCTGTGCTGCAGTAGCACCATGGGCTAGAGCCTTGCATAGGAGGCAAGTTAGGAGCACAGCAGAGTCCAACAATAATAAGTCACCCTGAGGCTGAGCCAGTAAGCAGAATCAGGAAATGCCTGTGGCAGCTCAGGGAGGCAAGTGACCAGCAGGATATATAAACCCAGGCCCTTAGCCAAGAGTGGCAGTCTAGCCCTGGAGGCTGCTGAGGGAAGAGCTCCAGAGCAAGGGAAATGCAGGAACTCTGCTAAATGGCATTCAGGCTGGATTGAGGAAGGCAAAGAGAGTGCTGATGCCCTACAGGGGAATATTACCTGGGGTAAAGGGAAGCCTTGTTATGCAGGCAGGTAGCCATTGTTTATATTTGGGCTCAGAGCATGCGTCCAGATGAGTGCGTACGTGCATCTTGCAGCATCTCAGACCCCTTGGAGACACTGCAAGACACACGTGTGGGAACAAAAAAATGTTCCCTGCGCTGAATATTTGCAGCGCGGGGGGGCAAAATTAGAACTCTAGATATCCAGGGGTCAGAAGAAAAACCGCGCTGTGGAACACGGGGCAAGGCACAGGCCAAGGCCAAGACCATGCCTGGCAGCAACCCAGGAGTCAGTCCTCCAGGAGAGATGCTCTGGTTTCTGGCCAGAGAATCTCTGTGGTGCTCCTGCTGCCCTCAGCACTGTCAAGGGTAAGTTAGGGATGTGGGTTGAGGGTGTTTATTAGTGCTGTGCAAAGTTTCAGATCGCAATTCAGATTTGGAGATGATTTGGATGATTCAGAGGCCAAATCTATTAATCCAAATTAAATTTCTAGAAGCTTTAGGCTTTCTGAACCAATTGGGAGCTTCTGGAAAGATTCGGTGATTTGGAGATTTGGCCATAGGGTATAATGGGGAATCAATGAAATATCTATAACTTTGTTGTTTTTTGGATGATTCAAATGAAACTTGTAGGAATGGTAGCCTCTGCTGTAGGAATGATGCGTGCCACATTTCAAGGTGATAGCTGCAGGGGGTTCTGGGAAACTGCACCTCAGAATCCTGAGCGAGAAACTCATGTCACGTGTGTGTGTGTTAAGCCACAGCGGGGATAAAACTGCAGGGATGGTAGCTCTTACTGAGACCACAAAGTCTTCCAAGTTTCAAGGAGACAGGTGCTGGGGTTTCTGGGAAACTGCACCTCAAGCTGCTAACAAGCAAAACTCATGACATAGGTGACTCTGTGCATGTTCAGGTGCACCCTTCTTGGTGCTAGGGACTCTGCACAACACGGCAGTGTGGCCCCATGAGGTCTCCTCCTCCCCTGACAGCCTCAGTCCAGTCCACCACTGTAAATGACAGCAAGTCAAAATAACTTAGCTGGCTCAACACCAGTAGTACCAGCAGCATCAAAGGTATCCAGACGGAACTGTCACAGAGCCTTTCTTTTTATAAAGGAATTGACAGCAAGAAGTAAAGATGTTGTGTTGGATATATGTTACTTGTGGTGTGTGATGGCATATCTTGTACTTTTATGTTTATATGTTTATTATGAAAAACCCCAATATAATTAGAAAAATATATCTTAGGAAGCTTTGGGGTTGAAAAACCCTTTGTCAAGCTGAGTAAATACATGCAGTTGGTGTGTCTCTTGGTCCTGGATGGAAGGAATAGTAAAGCAGCCAGATCCTGGCCTGGCACACAATGCAGGCAAGAAATCCAGTCAGTGAAAATGGAAATGGAGGCATCAGGGGGTGAGGGACAGTATGGAGGGTGGGGGGGAAGGGGGATGTAGCAGCACAGGTAAAAATGCAGAGGTACCTGGGGAGTCAGATGTCTGGCAGGTTTCAGTGTATCAGAATCCCACTATGTATATTAAGTCCATGAGTTTGTGAGGGAGGAGATCTCATGGGGGCACACTGCCATGTTGTGCAGAGGTCCCAGCACCAGGAAGGGTGCACCTGAATACACGCACAGTCCCACAAGCACCCATGTCATTAGTTTTGCCTGCCTGCGGCCAAAGGTGCAGAGACCCAGAATCCCCCTGCACCTGTCTCCTTGACAGCTTGCAGGCTTTGTGGCTTCATCAGGGGTTACCACCCCTGCAGTTTTCACCCCCCTGTGCCTTAACACGCACACAGTGTCACCTATGTCATGAGTTTTGCTTGTCAGCAGTTTGATGTGCAGTTTCCCAGAAACCCTTGAACCGATCTCCTTGCAACTTGGCAGGTTTTGTGACCTCAGCAGGAGCTACCACCTCTGCAAGTTTCATTAGAATCAGCCAGGAAACAAAGTTATAGATATTTCATTGATTCCTCATTATACCCTATGACCGAATCTCTGAATCTCTCCGAATCAGCTCCGAACCTTTTCTGAATTGATTCAGAAAAGTGATTCAAATCTCTGAATCAAATTGACTAAATCTGAATTGGCTGAATCTGAATCCAAATTGAATAGTTGGCTATTTGCACAGGCCCAGTGTTTATGGGTGTGGGTGGGCGTGGATGTGTAAGAAGTGGCAGGGGATGTCAGGGGGTATGGGGAGTGGTGGGGCATGTAGCGGGTGTGTCAGGAGTGGAGAGGGTTATCAGTGGCTATGGGGAGTGGTGGGGGGAGATCAGGAGGTGTCAGGGGCTATGGGGAGTAGAGAGGGGATGTTGGGGAGTGTCAAGGGGTGTCAGGGGCTATGAGGAGTGGTGGGGGATGCTGGGGGCGTTGGGGGCTATGGGGAATGGCATAGGGAATTTGGGGAGTGTCAGGAGTGGCAGAGAATGTTGGGGAATGGTGTGGGGGATGTCCCATATGTGGATGGGTTTCTGGAGGGGCAGCTAGTGCATGGCCTTGGATGGGCTGGGCTGGCTGGTTCCATTCAGCATGTACAGAGCCCAGGTAACATACCACCATGTCACCACCCACTGTGCCTGAAGCAGAGCCACAGCTCCCCACAGCCCCACTTGGCTGCTTCCACTGGCACCACAGGGGCTGGATGGTGGGGCAGGCATGTGGCAGCCCCAACTCAAGTCCCTCCATAAAGAGCATGGTGGGACCAAACCCAGCCCAGCTCAGTGTGGCTCACTAGCCGGGCTTTGCACCAGAGCAGGACATGTGGCACCAGGAGGCGCAGCTCCGGGAGGCATGGCTCCTGTGCAACCACATGCTAGTTGTGGGGCCTGGGGCCCCTTTGGACAGGACCAACTGGTTCAGCACCAGCACTCTCCCACACAAGGAGAGACATCGCAGGAGCCCTGCCCATGCCTGGACCTGCTCCACAACCCTTGCCTCCAGCTGGTGCCAGTTCTCTGGTGGGGAGGGGTCTGTGGGGGATAGGTAGGCCCCCAAGTAGAGCAGCAAGCCCACACCCAAGCAGATCCTGCAGAGGACAGGTGGGAGTGAGCCCACCTGCCACCCATCACCCACCACCAGGACAAAGCTCTTGACCCAGTTGATGCAGGCAGAGGAGGCCGCCAAGTACAATGCCTGGCAGGCCTACACCCACGCCAGGTCGCCTGGGTCCTGGACCATGAGGAGTAAGTTGTCAGCATACACTGACAGAACCAGCTGCACTGCTGGCTCCCAGAGCATTAACCCCACCAGCCACTTCTGCAGGAGAATGAGGAAGGGCTCCAGGGCCAAGGCATACAGCTGGTCTGACAGTGGGCAGCCTTGGCGCACCCCTCTCCTGAATGGGATGGGCTCTGTCAGGGTCCAGTTGAGCTCATCCAAACATTCTGCAGACATGTACAGCACCTGGAGAGCCCACACAAAGTGGGGCCCGAAGCCAAAAGCCCGCAGTGTGCCTGTGAGTTACCCATGATCCACTCTGTCAAACACCTTCTCCTGGTCCAGGGATAGGAGGGCAAAAGACAGGCCCTCCCAGTGCGCTAGCTCCAGAAAGTCCTGAACCAGGCAAAGGTTGTCAAAGATAGAACATCCAGGCACTGTGTATGTCTGGTTGGGATGGATCACATCTGTCACCATGGACCACAGGCACAGCAAGATGGCCTTCACTACCACCTTGTAGTTCATGCAGAGGAGGGACATGGGACTCCAATTCCTTAGGTCATGGGGATCTCCCTTCTTTGGCAGGAGGGTCAGCACATGGGTTCAGCCCATACTGCAGCAAGGTCCAGGCTGAGGAAGTCCCAGAAAGCCCAGTAGAACTCCAAGGTCAGCCCATTGATGCCCAGAGCCGTGTTGCCAGGCATCAGGCAGAGGGCAGCCGAAAACTCAGCCAGAGTAAAAGGAGCTTCCAGGTGGTCCCAGTCACCCACACCGACCTGCAGGAGTCCCTTTCACGGGGTCTGACAGGCCTTG